TCTAGGAGGAGTGGCAAATAAACTGAGATACAAACTTTATCGAATAGTGGCGGATAACGAGTTTTCGGGTCTAATAAAAATAATAATTTGCTAAAAATAAGTCTAAGTCAACATCGTTTTACTTTAACATGAAATACTCAGTCCTAGTTTACTAAATTCCCAAAAATGTATATTCATTAAAAACATCATACCTAAAAAAAAATAAGACCAAAATGATATTTTAGCAATTGTTGCATAAATCACATAACACCGACAAATTAAACATTGAGATTCAGTTTCAAATATACAAGTTTAAATATTATTGCGCTCAGTAATTTTCCAAATCAAACCCCGTCTTGCCATACACTTTGATTTAAATCTTTTAGTTGTTATTGTTTCGTCTTTATCAGGCATTTCTAAAAACATTCTTGACGTTGTTTTGAAATTTGGCGACATAAAATAATATAATTAATATTTTCTAGAATATGGATATAGAGATACCAGCAAAAAAAAGTTTACTTAAGCTTTCAGACGGTCCGGACGGGTTTTCTTTCGCTCTGTGCTTTATGGTTAATATTATATATCGCTCGCAATAATGAGTTTGTGTACTAATTGTGCGGCCAATTGTAGGCTTAAAGATAAAATTCTAAACGCGATTTCGGACTTGGACAGGTTAAAAAGCACTTTTATAGCATTAATTGAGTCAGTAAATGATAATACTAACTTGCCGGCTCCTGGTATAATTGAAAACAAACGTATTACTCGTTCAAAACATAAAGCTAGTGAAGGTGTTGTTGCTCAACCATCTAAAATGCAAAAGCACACTCAAATGCCCTCATCTAAATCTGTTGCTGCTAATAGCCTAACAGCTGGGAATGGGTCTGATAATAATACCGGTTTAATAACTACTCCTGGTGGTAATACTGGTATTTCTGCTTTTTTGCCTTCTTCTTCGGAGACATCGTCTGCTGTGAATGCTGCCAGTGAAGGTGTTATTGCTCAGCCAGTTCTAATGCGAACGCACACTCACATGCACGCTTCATCTGTGCCGCCTAATGATGCTGTTGGTACTGCTAACAATCTAGTAGTTGATAAGATCACAGAAATGCATTGTGTTTCTGATGCGCCGGGTATTAATACCGGTTTTTCAATTACACCTGCTAGTAATACCGGTTTGTCTGCTGTTGCTTCTTCTTTTCCTTCGCCTACCACGCCTGTTGACACGTTGCCGGCTGCATTTGCCAACTCATGCTCTTTGCCTGCGCCGCCCGCGTGCGCTCCTGATGCTGCTTCGTCGTATGCCGCTGCTATGGCTCAAGAATGATAGAATACAAGATTGCGCCAATCGAGCTGAGAGAAACTGGCCGTGACGTCAATAAATACCAGAATGAGAGAGCAAAGACGAATTCAGTAAGAAAAAGAAGAAGAAGCGAACAGCTGGGGCGAAATTGAAATGTTTGTTTACAAAGTGCATAATAAATCGCGGATTTACGGAATTATTTAGTTTTAAATGGTAAATTGGTTGTTTAAAAGTAAAGGATGTGTACTTATTAAATGCAATGCAAATCGCTGAAAGTGTTAAATCACTGCAATCATTATAATGATTTGCATTTTTTCAGTAATTGAACAAATACCAGCGGGCAGCCAGCGGGTCAGTTGCTGGTAACAATTTGCAGAACGATTCCACGGTGATCGTTGCATCGTCGTCAATTAGTGAAATCAGTAACCAAGCTTTTAAAATAAAGGAAAACCTCCTACTCCGCTATACATATAATTACTTTCATTATTTAGCTACTTTTCCGGCAACCGCAACAAACGCTGGACCAAGCCTGCAAATTATTGCCAGCAACTGGAACGCTGGCTGCCCACTGGCATTTGTTCAACTACTTAAAAATTCACTTTGTCAACAAACCTTCACACACATCAAGCGGCTCATCTGGATGAAATGAAAAGGCTGTTAGATGTAATGCAGGAACGTGCTCCCGATGTTGAACATCAGTTCAAAGAAAAGTCAAATGAGTTGGAAATGGCGCAGCTTATCATACGCCAGTTGTCGGATAAGGCCAATGTAAACCAAGGCGGCAATCGTATAGAAACCTTGACGTAGACGCAATTTATGTACGAGGAACAGATTAGAGACTTACAAGTAAGTTAGAAGTAGAAGTGCATTTGAAGATGTTTACATTATTATGTTTACGCATTTCTTACAGTCTATGGTGCAGGAATTTATGATGGTCACAAAATATATTGGCAAAAACATAGCAAGTGCATATGCCAAGTTGGAAAAATTGACAATGCGTGAGTATAAAATGAAAAGGTGTTCTTAATTATAAATATTACTTTACCTTTTCTTTTGCAGTGGCCAAAAAGAAGAGTCTTTTTGATGATCGACCGCAAGAGATTCAAGAATTGACTTACATCATGGTGTATGCGTTACAATCTAAATTAGCCAGCATGGGCACCGACTTCAAACAGTTGTATACTGTCGTACTGTTGTATTTCAGAAACTTTAAACGGCTAAAGCTATATATAAGGAATTCGCAAGCTAACATAAAAGTTTTATTATGAAATTTCACACAATTAAAAAATTTTTGGTGGTGATTTATGTAACCTCACAAACGCGGTTTTGCATTATCATGATACGCGGTTTGCATTTTGTTGATACGCGGTTTTGTACTTTAAACGACGACTTGCAAAGGGCGCTATGTAAAATTTGTTCGATTTTTAGTTTTCGATGGATTACGTACCAGTATTTAAAGTAGTTTCATGTCCAGTAACAACAGAGTGCAAAATCTTTTTATATTCTGAAAAAATAGCATCAAATGTTAAGTCTTCTTCCAAAAGTCGCTATCATACTTATTTATAAACTTTCAAAAGTATCTATCTTCTGATGAACTTAGAGAACTGCTTTAGGTCGTATAGACTGTTAATGTTATCTTATGACATGTTATGTTACGTTACAATTTTATAAGGCTCTTTTTTATCCAAATTTTTAGGTAATAAAAAAGATTAAATTTAAATGCTACTTGTTTTCGTAGTCGTTTTTTCAAATTTATCGCTTTCTATTATAACATCACATAACGCTGTTTGCAAGTGGACTACTCATATGTACATTTCTTATTCGTTATCACGACAGTCAAAAATTGATATCTTTGTTAATTTTTTGCGGCCCTGAAAAGGGCCTTTTATGTATATGTGGTATTGTGTATGTAGACCCAGATAAGCTTATATAAAGCATTTGATCCCTTTGTAAATTCTTTGCGGGCTTGAAAAGGGCCCTTTATGTATACAAACACAGGGAAGCTAATATTTGCAAAAAATTTGATCACTTTAGCAGTTCGTGGCGGCCCTGAAAAGGGCCTTTTGGTGTATCAAGAGCATTTACCTGTAATTAAATGAATTTATATTGCTATGCAATTAATGAACCATTTCCTTACGGGAGGCATTCTACGCATTCATCTTAGGTATATTTCACTTCTGATCACATGAGTGCACGTACTCCACATGTTGATGTTGACCCTAAAGCTAGCAAGAAAAGAATTTTGGTAATGTTTTTGCAATAAGTAAATTTATAGCTCACTATGTCATTTTATTTATATAAAAATATAAAATTTATTCACTTACCAGGCCTGCTGCATACCTTGCTTATTTGTTGATGGTACCAAATGCACTTAAGTCAAAATTTTTTTATATTTTCTTTTTTTACTGTGGGCATTTTCTATGAGTTCTTTGTTTAGTTTTCTTATTTTAAAGAACATTCTTGCCCTGAAAAATAATTTTTTTACCTTAATATCGCAATGGATATTCGAGGCTTGCTCAATGTGTTTTTTTACAAAGTCGTTTGTAATAAGCAAGCCATCTTCATTCATTGCTTGAAACACTGACTCTAAGTGACGTATTTGGTCCATCATTGCAGAGCTGGGTACTTTCAAGCCACCCTCGCTCAAGTGACTTGCCCATGAAAACGACGGGTCGTCATTGCTCCTGAGCGATGTGCTGGGGATGTCATCCTGGAGTCTGTGACAAATATACCCGGCTAAATGCTCGAGGCCATCATGCTCCAAGTCGCTGAACTCAGCTTCTTCAACCGGCCATAGTTCCGGGCCTTCTTGCAAATTTTGCAGGAATATACCTGACATATTGTCGTATAATATATAATGATAATATAATAGAATATAATATGTCATATAATATATTTTAATTGGAGAATACAATTTTTGAAGAACCTGTGAGTGGGGGTTGCGTCATTTCCAAGTCCGGCGTATCATCCTCCTCTACATTCGCAGAGTCTGACAAAACGCCTTTGTTGTGGCCAAGCAGATAAAGTCTGAGGCGGTACTTAAACTCCTGCTGGTCCGGGTGATCATGCAACCCACCTTTGGAATGAATCACACCAAATAAGTTTTCCAAGACATCTTGGTTGAGGCGATATGTTAGTACATACTTAACATCGAAGCGAGATTTGATCTCATCAAACATCATCTTCAATGCATTATTGCTTTGTATGATTCCTGAAAGGTAAAAAACAAGTACTTATGTATATATACATACATATATATTTAAGGGGTTTGAAACAAAATAGAATTGAATATTTTTAATAGTTTTCATATAAGTTTCTAAGTTTACCTTTCTGAAGTGGAAGAAGGGACTGCCTTCCAATTACCCTCATAGTTTTAACCAAAGCAGTCATTTGATCCAAAATGTTGTCCTGCTCTTCCTTCGCTAAGCCATAAGCGTGACACCGTTTCCTTGAGTCAGCGTGAGGCACCCTCACGTTGAGCACATCAAACCAGTCATTTGTCTAAAATGTGAACAATTGGGAGATAAATGTACGGTATGCCTTGGGACTTGCCGCGTATAGCGTAATAGACTGCGCTATGTCCTTTTCCGTGCAAGTTGGCCTCTTCGTGCCTTTTTTCATCTTGCTGATCTGACCAGCAGAGAAAATTTTTGCCAACTTTTCTTCTACACTTGCCAACTCCATCCTCACCTCCGACAAGCTCTTACGCAATGACTCCACTTCCCAGTCATGCCTTTTCTGCTGCAAATGCGTTTCTCGCTTTAAAGCCGCAATCTCGCTTTGTTGCCTGCTGTGTTCGCTTTTGAGAAAAGCGTTTTCGCGTAATGGAGCTCGTCTACATAAATACGTATAAACAAAAAAAATTTTAATATGGTTTGTATAGATATATATATATATGTATGTATGTAGATTTAATTAAACTTTGAACTTACAATTTTTCTTGTAGATCCTCAACCTCCTTAAGCGTACTGTCATAGTAAAACACCTTGCTAGGTGTTGTGGCACGATGTGGGGAACACAGAGGCGTCAACGCATCTGGCAATATGCCACAGTTCTCCTCGTCCGCGCGGCTATGGCCCATAAGACCTTCGGCTTCTGAAATGTACTTTTTTATAACTAGGAGAACTTCAACTATATAAACTTGTAATGCCATTGGAAGTGGACTGCTCCAGTAGATCGCTCACAATGGTTTTGTACACTTGCTGCTGGGCTTCCTTGTCAGGATCTGGTATTTCCGCAGCAGGCTTGAAAATTGTCGGCACAACGCCCCGCTTTAGTTTACACTTTTTAGCGTAGCCTAACACAATTTAAAACATTTCTTTTAATAAAAAGCAGTATTAATGAAAAGTGAAAAATATAAGCTTCCGGGGGGTTTCATATTTACGATGAGGGCGGCTATCTTTCGTGAAATTTACTCCTGAGTCACACCACCCTCACGAATAAATAGTATAACTTACCCATTTTATATTGAAGCTCGTTCTCGAAGTCATCAGTGGTGAAGTGTTTTACAAAGATGACGCTGGTTCGGGCGTTGAAAATCGTTGGTCTCCGGCAGAACTGGATCCACTTTTCCACCAACTCAATGTCGGCCGGAAAAGTAAAAAAAGCGCACCCAGATCCTTTGGCACTTACACTAGCACAATTAACCACTGCACACCTCATTGTTTTCTTTAATTTATAACTTTTTTTTATCAGTTTTCACAAAAAACAAAACAACGCTCAAAGTCTTCCGAATTTGTAAATTTGTAAAGTTGAAATAACCTAAAACGTCACGAACCAGAAAATGTAAACAAAAGTATTGTGTGACGTCAGAGAATGGGTGGATGCTGTCAAATCGACGAAGAGAGGGTTAGCGGTCCGCGAATGGCGCGACCTTTATTTTCTGGATCGTGGCTGTGGCTAATAATGTTACTTCAATTAATACAATAGCGAATAATGCTGCTAACAATGCACATCCAAATAATGCACAGTGGTCTGTTATGCCTAAAAATCTCACTCATAAAAAACAAAGGCTTTGTGTATTTGGAACTAACGAGAACTCTGAGCTGGGAGTTGTTCTTCGTCACAAATGGCTTCATATTTCTTCGTTTTTGCCCTCCGTTGATACGGAGAACATCATTGAATATGTCGCCAAACATGCGGCTATCAATAGGAATGAGATTTTGTGCTATAAGCTTCTTAAGAAAAATACTAATTCGAAGGAAATTAAATACATAAATTTCAAGCTTGGAGTTCCAGAACGTCAATATAATAATCATCAAATATTTGGCATTCAAATCTATCTATCAAATCTATTCTATCCGACCATTTGATTTTTTTCAAAAAGGTCGTCAGCCTCAGCCCAAGAAGTAAAAAACCCTTCTGCTTCTGGTGCCCCCAAAACAAGCATTTATTATCAAAATATTTCGGGACTCAGAACCAAATCTGAATCCGTTTACATTTTGAGGTCGCAACTGGATTACGACTGTTTCGTCCTAACCGAGACTTGGCTAAATGTTAACTTTTTTGATGCGGAGTTCTTCGACACAGCTCTCTTTGACGTTTTTCGCAAGGATAGAGATTTTGCTAAAACTGGTGTTAGTAGGGGTGGTGGTGTGCTTATTGCTACACGCAGCTATCTTCGTGCTTCTTTTTATGAGCTACCGGGTTCCAATTCCGTGCTGGATCAACTTTGCGTAAAATTACAAGGTGCGTGTGGTGTGCTGTATATTTGCGTGTCCTATATCCCGCCGGGCAGCTCGGATGTCATATATAAGGCACATATTGACAATATCCTAGCACTTCACGTGAAAATTGGTGACAGTCAACTTTGTGTCTTAGGCGATTTCAATTTAGGTAATATTTCTTGGAGCTTTATGGATAATAATAATTTTCTCACTCCATGTAATGTTAATAGTTTATGCGAATCTTACGTAATTGATAACTTGCTATGTATTGAATTGTCACAGATCAATGGTTTTCTAAATGAACTTAATCGAATTTTAGATTTAATATTTGTTAGCTCTAATATTAATTTTAAGCTCTCATCATAGTCCACTGGTGTTGGAAATGGAATTTTTTAAATATTTTGAACTTCCAGGTAGTAGTAAAACAGTTGCTTTTAACTACTCGCGTTGTAATTTTGTGGAATTAAATAATTTGTTTGAGTTGGATTGGTCTCGGCAATTTGAAAATGTGGATGTAGCTGGCTGTTACGATATTTTTAAATCTATTATAGTTGACACTTGCGTGAGTCACATCCCGATGTTAAGTGCTAAACCTTCGAAGCGGCCGTGGTTCTCTAGAGAACTCAAACCACTAAGGAACTTGAAGAATAAGTTTTATAAAAAGTAAAAGCATTCTAATGTTGTTAATTTTCGTGAGCGGTATGTGTCTTACAGTGGTAAATTCAACAAACTCAACAAGTCTTTGCATCGAAATTATATTCGTAATACAGAAAGTAATATTAAATGTAACCCCAAGGCCTTTTGGAGTTACATAAAAGCTAAGAAAAACTGCTCAAATATACCTGC